CTATGAACTTTCCTCTTAGCACTGCTTTCATAGTGTCCCATAGGTTTGAGTATGTTGTGTCTTTGTTTTCATTAAATTCAAGGAAGACTTTAATTTCTTTCTTAATTTTGTCCTTGACCCAGGGGTGATTTAGTAGTTGACTGTTTAATGTCCATGAGTTTGTTAACTTCCTGGGGGTAGCATTGTTGTTCAATTCTAATTTTAATCCATGGTGATCTGACAAGACACAGGTGGTTACTAATATTTTTTTGTATCTGTGGGAGTTTGCTTTGTTACCGAGTATGTGGTCAATCTTCGAGAAGGTTCCATGAACTGCAGAGAAGAAGGTATATTCTTTCCTATTTGGGTGGAGTGTTCTATAGATGTCTGTTAAGTCCATTTGATTCAATACCTCCAATAAATCTCTTAATTCTCTGTTTGGTTTCTGTCTGATTGACCTGTCCATTGGTGAGACAGGAGTGTTGAAGTCACCTACTATTAGCGTGTGTGGTTTGATGACTGCCTTAAGTTCTAGAAGAGTTTCTTTTACATATGTGTGTGCCTTTACATTAGGGGCATAGATATTCAGGATTGAGACTTCTTCCTGATGAGTTGTTCCTGTTATGAGTATCAAATGTCCATCTCTATCTCTTCTGATTGATTTTAGTTTGAAGTCGATTTTGTTAGATATTAGAATGGCCACACCCGCTTGTTTCTTAGGTCCATTTGCTTGGAAAACCTTTTCCCAACCCTTTACTCTGAGTAGGTGTCTGTCTTTGTGGTTGAGGTGTGTTTCTTGTAAACAGCAGAATGTTGGATCCTGTTTTCGTATCCAATCTCTAAGTCTGTGCCTCTTTATAGGTGAATTGAGTCCATTGACATTAAGAGATATTAATGACCATTGGTTGTTGACTCCAGTCATTTTTTGGGGGGGTAATAGAGTGTATGTGTTTTCCTTCTTTGAATTGTGCTAGTGAAGGGTCGCTAGATGTCTGAATTATTGTAGGCAGTGTTGGCAATGTTGTATTCCTTGGGATGTAATTTTCCTTCTAGTATTCTCTGTAAGGCTGGATTAGTAGTTACGTATTGTTTAAATTTGTTTTTATCCTGGAATATTTTGTATTCTCCGTTGATAGTGAACGAAAGCTTGGCTGGGTAAAGTAGTCTGGGCTTGCATCCATGGTCCCTTAATTTCTGCAGTACCTCTATCCAGGACCTTCTGGCTTTCATGGTTTCCATAGAGAAGTCTGGTGTAAGTCTGATAGGTTTACCTTTATAGGTTACTTGACCTTTTTCCTTTGCAGCTCTTAATATCCTTTCTTTAATCTGACTGCTTTGTGTTTTGATTATTATATGGCGAGGGGATTTTTTTTCTGATCCAGTCTATTCGGTGTTCTATATGCTTCTTGTACCTTCATAGGAATATCCCTCTTTAGGATGGGAAAGTTTTCTTCTATAATTTTGTTGAATATATCTTCTGGACCTTTTATCTGCAATTCTTCTCCTTCTTCTACTCCTATTATTCTTAGATTTGGTTTTTTTTTATTATGTCCCATATTTCCTGAATGTTTTGTGATGAGAATTTGTTGGATTTGCTGTTTTCTTTGGTCAGGGTGTTTATTTTCTCTATGGTGTCTTCATAATCTGAGATTCGTTCTTCTATCTCTTGTATTCTATTGGTTAAGCTTGATTCTGTAGTCTCCGTTCGTTTACCTTGATTTTCCATATCCAGCCGGCCCTTGGTTTGTGTTTTCTTCACTGCCTCCATTTCAGTTTTCAATTCTTTTTTTTTTTTTTTTTTTTTTTAAAATATTTATTTTATTATGTATACAATATTCTGTCTGTGTGTATGCCTGCAGGCCAGAAGAGGGCACCAGACCCCATTACAGATGGTTGTGAGCCACCATGTGGTTGCTGGGAATTGAACTCAGGACCTTTGGACGAGCAGGCAATGCTCTTAACCTCTGAGCCATCTCTCCAGCCCCAGTTTTCAATTCTTGAACTGATTCCATTACCTGTTTGATTGCTTTTTCTAGGTTTCCCAGGGTATCATTTATGAATTTAGTCATTTCTTCAAACTTTTTGTTATATTTTTCTTTCATTTCTTTACTCATTTCTTCCATCTTTTTGTTATATTTCTCTTCTATTTATTTAAGTGAGTTATTCATACCCTGTTTAAGAGACTCTATTGCTTTCATAATGACACTGTTTTCCACTTCTTCCGGAATAGGGTGTTCAAGTCCTTCTGTCGTAAGATCGCTGGGATCTGGTGTTTTCATGTTGTTTTTCAGATTGTTGGAGGAATTCTTGCCTTGGCGCCTGCCCATCTCTTCCTTCAGATGCTCTCCAATGGCTCTTCCCTCCGCTGGGTCTTCTTCTACTGGATTAGTGCCCCTTGCTTTCCAGGAATCACTTTGCCTGCAGTCTTAGCTTGCTACAGGCAGGCTATTAGAACAAAGGGACTTCCTTCCCTTTGCACTCACCACCTGTCCTGACCCGCGGTGCCCACCCCAGCTGAGATGAAGGAATTTAAGCCCCGAAAAAGGGAGAGAGGATGGGAGGGGTTCGAGGCCGAAAGCTGGGATGGCGTAGCAGGAGAGAGG